AGGCAGAGGGCAGATTATTGGCCCTCACCTGTATCACTTGTATCAATTGTATCACTATCCACCACAGAGGCTTGCAGGGCCTCTTTGTCAAACCCCTCAAAGTCCGTATCCTCACTATCATTATCACAATCACTGACTTGGGCCGGCTGTGGTGGGTGGCGGGTGAAGAACTCGGTAATGTTTTGATGACTGGGCGACCTTGTGCGCACCCTGCTCGCGCTGCTCTCCGCGTAAAAGGGTACACACACCGCGGAAAGTGAGCATTCCATGTTCAGCATTGTACCGCGTAAACGTGGAAACGCGTAAAGTGGGATCGCGTAAAGCGAGGGTTGACTGTATATAACTTTTGGAGTCACACATTATTTACCTTGTTAATATAGTTAAGTCTGAGCAATTTGTTTCAGTTTGAGGTACTGTATTATTTATACAAAATGTAGATATTTCTCAAGAAAGCTTGGTAATATTTTTCCATGCTCATGTAATAGTGTTTATATGTAGAATTCTTTTTCTTACCTCCTCACTTATTGATTATGACACCTGTATGTCAACGTTTTAACTTTTACTTTTATCTTCTTCACCACTGATCGGCTAGTTAGCTGCTTGGGTGGTCGGTCACGTTTCTGTTATGCACTGTTGGCAAGTACTGGGCATGCTCTGGCCCCTTAAAATATCAGAACCTGCTTCAGTGTTGGTCAAGTGTGGCCTTGAATGGCTATTGAAGTACTGTACAGAGATCTCCCAGGTTATGGAAAATCTTTCCGTAATACAAAACCATTTTTCCCATTGGCTTCCATTAAAAAAGTTCAGATGAGTTCCTACAGAAAAATTTTGTGGCCAAAAATGTGATACAAGAACATATATGTATGAAATCAGATGGTTTTAACCACATACAATGAGTCTTTCATGATGTAATATGATAATAAATTAACAAAACACTTGAATTTTACTTACCAGAAATTATGTCGAGTGCTGCAGGTGATGAGGTGAGGTGATGGGATCAGAGTTACTGGGAGTTACCTCTTTAAAACATGAAGTGTAATGTCCTATACAATTCCTTTATGGAATCTTTTATCACCACTGCTTTCACTTGAACTTGATGGTCTTTTTCCTCTCATATTGAATAAGGGTACACAGTAACACAGGTGCATAACTGAACACAAACTGGAGAAAGAATTCAAACTTAGTACCTGTAGTGCCATTGTTGTTGTGACTGCTACCAGCTGGAGAGGAAGGAGAGCTGAGCCAAAATCCACATGAAATAAATTTCATAATTTTTTTTTAAATTTTTTGTTCAATATCACGATTTTTTTTCTTTTGAAAATCTTAATAAATTAACCAAAATTCCATAAGGGCAAATAAAGTCCCAAGCACAGATGCACAACTGAACACAAGCTGGGGAAAGAATTCTAACTGAGCAGCTCCATTGTTGTGGTGAATGCTGGCAACTGGGGAGATGAATTGGCCTTCCACTTGCCTTTTGGCCACCACAGATGCATTCACACTTAATATTTTTTACTATTTTTGTAAAAACTTTGATTAAAAATTCTGCAAGGGCAAATTTTGGGGGGTAACGTAAAACTTAGGTCTAAATTTGTAAATTCCATAAGGGCGAAATTCCATAACCAGAAATTCTGTAACCCGGGGATGCCTGTATAGGAAATACTTTCTGTAAATTAGCTAACCATAGTAGAAGATTTTAAAAGCAATTGATGACCGCTTGCCCATATGTGTTTACTGTAACTGACAAAAGGATTTTCAGTAACAAAACAGTTGATGACATTTGCACTTTCAAAAAAAGGAATTCTGAATGATGGAAGACTTTCAGTGGTTTTAATAATTACCTTGTAATCCTCAGTGGAGCACAGGAATTATATTATCACGTTATCACATGCACAATCTTATAAAGACATTATTTATTTTGTATATCAGAACATTATATCATACAGTATTGTTAAAGGGTTCCCATCTGTTGGACGATTTGAAGGCAAACCTATTTTTCCTTGTTCCATCTCCCCACTGAATATACTTCCCTGTACTGTTACCTCATTATAATTTTGTGCAAATTGAACCCTATTTCAATCTTACATACCTTCAATAAATTTACTTAAGATTGTGTGGTGACACAGACAACATTCTGCCTTTAAGTTTAAGATGCAGTAATATTGCAACTAATTTGTCATGAGTTTATTGTTATGTTCTATATTATTTGTCTACTGTGTCTGTAGTTTTCACCTTTTTTTTTACCATCTTGAAACACAGCACAGACTTTCTGATCTTTTTTCTTCAAATTTTATTTACAAAATGATTGAACAAATTCCTCTCCTCTTTTTGTAATTTATGCTAGTCAGATATGATGACTATGTAAAGCTGAATATCCAGCATGCTTTCCTCCAGTGCCATGAGATCTATTTATTTTTAACTAATAGATTATCACATGTACACATGCCCCTGTGAGGGGCATTATGGTTTAAGTGACAAATAATTGTATTCAAGTAGGCTTGCCTAATACATGGTCTGTAATCAAGAATGTTGTTAATCCATTTACTGTATACTAATTATTGTACAGTACAGTACTTGTATATTTAGTGAATCCAATGATGATTTAAAATATTAAATATACTTAAAAAGCTAATTATCATGTCATGAGATCTCATTCAAGCAATTGTTAAAAGTTTATATAATTTTAATATAAAGTTAGTTGAAAAAATCTTTAATGGTTCATGCATGCCATATTATGTAGAACCATGTTGCTTTTGTTCTATGCATTTTATTTTAATCTAGAGAAATACATTAATTTTGCTTTGCTTGACATGTAATAGTAAAGAAGGTATAAAAAATATACAAAACAAGGTTTTCATCTGATGGATCCCTTAGTGGTTGTTTGTCCATGTCCCCACAATTCATCTTTCATGTCCTGGGGCCTGGCTTATTCATTACTGTATTACTGTCAGCACACATTTTTGAAAAACAGAGGGTGTACTTCCATTTGTCAATACAGTATTTAAAATGAAATTCTCACAAGTAGTAGAACAAAAATGATAAATTTAACAGTAGATCAGATGTTTTTTTTAATAACACTTAAACTCTAAAATGAAACATTTTTACAGTACAGGTGAGAAGAATTGGCAGTGTACTCTGAAGAGATAGAGGGTAATAAAAAATTAAAAAGATAATACTGCAGTTAATAAATCAATTGTAATATTAAATAATGTAAAGGGAAATTGCAACAGTAGCTGGGGCAGATATGGTTTTGGAACAAAGAATTAAACACAAGACTAGGTTTTTAATAGACTGGTGTTATCAGTAGGCTTTCTCTCCTTAGTCTGTTAGTTACCTTGACAGATCTTGTCACCTTTCCTTAATTTTAAACTCTTACAATTATTTCAGTAAACCGTTTGCAAAAAAGCAGTGCTTTTTTGTACGATATCTCCTTCATTTTGGCTATTACTTAAACTTAAAAATCAGAGTTCACATTCAAAGGAGAAAATGCAATATACATGATTTGTATAAAGTTGGGTTTTTAATGAGTCTGTTGGATGCTTGAAGAGTGGAGAGGCCAGGCTCCTTGGACACCTTGATTCACCCTTGGGCATTTCCTAGAGTATCCCCCTATAATGCACCACAAAGGATAAGGTGCTGAGGATTGCCATCACTACTTGTCTTCCTGGCAGCTCTGCAAACTCAGGCCGTGACAACTTGCCTCCACTTACTCATGCTCACTCCAATAGTGTCTCGGGACTGAGTCGCCGCAACCTGCCAACCTCTGAGTCATACACTTCTAGCAGCAACAACCACACCAGCAACTCTTCTAGTCGCCGTCCCTCAGACCCACCTGCACCATCAGGGTCAAGCACCACTAATAACTCAAAGTCCTATTCAGACTCCATCAAAGCAGAGGGTGGTACCCAGATGCCCACCTTGCTATCAACACGTCACACCCAGTCCTCCAATTCGCATACCCGATCTGCAAAGTCTCGGGACATTCCTGATTATTTCCCTCCAATTGCTGCTACTCGTTACTAGCTACCTGTGCTGACACAGGACTTGTGCTGTAAATACTTGGCTGCCCACAACCTTCCTTTTAATGACTTGATGCTGTAAATATATGGCAATTTACATGCCACCCCTGTATGACAGGACTGGTACTATGCATACCCTTCTATCTTTATGTAAAACTGTAGCATTTATTTATGTATACATTAATACAGAAGCCACCTTTTTATGACACTGGGTTGATGCTTTGCATCTCTACCATAGCATCCTGGGGAACTGAGCATTGCTTTGCACTTCAGTTTCTATCCAGAATGCAGTAGATATGAGTAATAAATTGAGCCTTGTTCTCAAATTTAACGCAACTTAAAGATTCAACTTCAGCACCAGCTACAAACATCTTCATAATCACCAAGTAATATTAAAACAGTGTTTGATACCATGTGAATTTCACAATAATATATATAGAGCACTTATTTTTAATTAAGGTTACAAGATACTAAAAAAAATCACGTGTGATACACAGCATAAAGAAGTAAGCAAGTCTTTATGTATCATGTTAGTGAAACTTCCTTTATCATCTGAAATTTTATGCATGAAAACTGTTTGATGTTTAGTGTTTCTGTCACAAAGCTCCATATGCACAACAGAGTGACACCTTCTGAAGGTAATCTCTTGCCTGTTTAAGAGATTTTTTTTAGTATACTCATACACAGAGTGTATGAACTATTGAGACACTTCATGCAGTAATCCACCAAGTTTGATATACAGGAATTAATCCAGTTTTGGACATTAGCCATTCTGTGTTTGTTTATAATGTATAGTCTGCTACTACAGTGCCTTGAATTTATAAAGTACAATACTCTAAATAATATAGACTTTAGCCAGAGTCCAAGGCATCCCATCTGTGGCCTTCACAGTGTATCACTTTTTGTCTGACCCCTGTACCCCTTGGATTTGGATGGCACTCCTTGGGTGCGTACGTCTTACCTTGGGTGTGCGTGTGGCAGCTCAGCATCGTCCTCTGCTCCTGGTACAGCTCCTGGATCACGTGTGCCCTCCCTGCCACCTATCTCTGGTGCTACAGCCTCCAACTCCCAAGAAACAGATTCAAATGATATGCGACATGGCCTGAAGAACATCAATGCCATCGTAGCCAGGTAAGATACACTCTTTGTCATGATAGATATAAATTCTTGCCTTCACAGATCCTTCATTCTACAGAAAGCAAGATTCTCAACAAGGTTGGTTCAGAATTTAATTTTAAATTAAAAGGAAAGTTATATTGAGAAAGAACTAAGATTGCTGTTACAATTCATTTCCAGATTCATTTGAACAACTGTCTTACAATCTTTACTGAGAATACATATTTCAATGAGGTAATTGGTTATTGAACAAATACAGTCAACCCTCACTTTACGCGGTCCCACATTCCGCGTTTACGCGGTGCCCTGCCAGAACCCAGGATGCTCACATTCTGCGGTGGGTGTACCCCTTTACTCGGGTGAAGTATAATTTTTTTATTTAGCTCATAAAATTCATACAAATTATCCGGCCAGAATATAATTTACATTGCTGGAATTCTTACAATTTGATGATCATTTTGAATATAAACATCATAGATTTTGCATTAGACATACAAATTTTAGATATAATGTTTACTCTGAGTAAATATGTTATCTTTTGTGCAAAATATATGACATTTATATTCAAAATATTCCTGGTTTTACAAGGAATCCAGCAATGTCAATTATATTATCCTAACTTTAATCTGAGGTATTATTTAATACTAAATGTTAAAATCTAGTTTTTTCACCCACCTTTCTCTTGAAGGGAGGGTTGGTGGGGGTGGGGGGGAGGGTTGGGACGGACTGACCATCTGGCTCGGTTGGAAGAGGGGGGGAGGCAAGGTGGGGTACTTTGATTGACAGATAGTGTCGTGAAGAATATTTTTTTTTTTTATTAACTGAAGATATTTGTTTTAGCTCATAAAATTCATACAAATTACCCGGCCAGAATATAATTTACATTGCTGGAATTCTTACAATTTGATGATCATTTTGAATATAAACATCATAGATTTTGCATTAGACATACAAATTTTAGATGTAATGTTTACTCTGAGTAAATATGTTATCTTTTGTGAAAAATATATGACATTTATATTCAAAATATTCCTGGTCTTACAAGGAATCCAGCAATGTCAATTATATTATCCTAACTTTAGTTTGAGGTATTATTTATTACTATACCTGGTTTTCCCCCCAAAATTTCTCAGAGGGAAGAGCCAGCGAGTGTAGTGTGAGAAGAGGGGGAGGGAGTCGAGTCCATTATTTGAATGGACATTAACTTGGCGACTGTATTTCTCTATTTCTCTTTAAGTATTAATTGTGTGCATGTACCATCATAAAATTAAGATGTTATTTTTACTAGAACATAGGTATTGTGTTGGAAAAAGTGGAGTTTGGGGGTCAGCTGGTCTCTATTTCATTTAATCCCATATGTTATGTTATTCACTTTCCGCGGTACCCTGTGGGTTACATTAACCGCGTAAAGTGAGGGTTGACTGTAGTTGATAATTAGTGTTTGTCTCCTGTTCTAAGGGTTATGGTATGTACCTGGGGCTTCCCCAGTCTTCCTAGTCGCAAATTGGTACAGTACCTAACTTTGGTTTGAGAAGTGAAGGCAGTTGTGTGTAGTGCTGGCCATACTGCCTTTTTTGTGCTAAAAAAAAAAAAAAAAATGTGGAGCTAGTGTGCTATAACTGTACTGCTCACATTGCTATGGGACCTACTTTCATATACAGTGGTCCCTCGGTTAACGAACACAATTTGTTCCACAGAGTCATTCGTTAACCGAATCCATTATTTCAATGGGATATTGGGTAATTGGTTCCAGCTCACAGAAAAGTACATACAAAGTAAAGCCAAAAATGCATAGTAGTCAGAAACACTCCTAAAATTCCCCTAAATCGCCCTTAAATCACTATACTATATATATACGTACATATACTGTACACTCTTACTCTTAAATCATTACTGCAATGTGATACAGGTGATTAATTTTTATCTCTTGTGCAAAACATATGACGTTTATATTCAAATTATTCGCTGTCTTGCAAGGATTCCAGCAATGCAAATTATATTCTCCTAACTTTAGTTTGTGATATTATAAAAGATAAAAACTTAAAGCCTACTGTATAACCACCAAACCCTTGCTGGGAGGGGAGGGAGGGAGGGAGGGGTGACAGTGACATGTTTGACAGTTTGCGCCGAAGGTCTAGCGAAGTATTTATTTGTTTATTTATGTCCTTTAGATTGAGTTTTTGTTTTTTGCTTATAAAATGTCATAGAAGTGACTGGGGAAAAGATAATCTACATTGCTGGAATTCTTATAAGATAGTGATTAATTTGAATGTAAACATGCAATAGTTTGCACTCGACAAAAATTTTAGTCATCTACATTATTTTGATTACATGTACAGTACAGCTTTGCCCTTAGGACAGTGTGTGCATGTAAATGAGTTTCAATAAATTAATAAAGTTACATATATCGAGCCAAAAATAATAGTTGAAAACTTTATGTAGACAGAGCTTGGATGGCTAAATTTTAGAATGACCAATAATTTTAATATAAAAAATGCAAAAATATTCAAGAACACAACCTTCTTGATATTTACTCCACTGGAAACAAATGTAAACATAGAACAGATTACTGTATTGGCGGACTAGCCGATCAGCTGATGCTCACAACAAAACGTGTTTGTCGTAAGGATTTCGTTAATCGAAGTTTTGTTCGTTAACCAAATTGAAGATCCTTATGGGAGCTAATTCGTTAACCGAAATTTGGTTAATCGAATCGTTCGTTAACCGAGGGACCACTGCACTGTACTGTATTGAGTAAATATGGTTAGTATCTCACTAAATAACAGTGTACAGTAATACAAACTGAATATGTTACTCACAGTACAAAAGGAAAAATATTTAAATACATGTAATACTGTACATGTACAATACTGTACATCCAAATGTATGCAAAACAGAACTATAAATGAAAATGAACACAGTAGTCCCTCACCATCTGTGGGAGTTAGGTTCCTGGAAAATTCTGTGGTTGGTAAATCCATGGTAGGTAAGATTAAATGGGAAATAGAGGGTTAAGTTCCACTGCCGCTGATAACACTCGTCAAATCCTAAATAAGTTGCCTGTTCCTTCACAAAACAATATTTGCATTGTACATTTAATTAAATTTGAGTCAAATGCATATAAAATAGTGTATAATATAAATTAAATAGTAATATATATTTAACAGTGTAGGAGGTATTTACATTCATTGAGGATGATGGTGGATGAGAATGACAATGATGATGTGGAGGGAGCGGTGGTTGTTATAAGGAAGAGAAGAACACAGGCCCACTCTCTTCCTGCACCTCTTTAGGTTCATTAATGTCTGATGAGGTGGGTGATGCAGGGACATCTTGGCTGGAGTGTGTGGGTGGTGGCTGGAGTGTAACCACTGGTGGAAGGTTGTGGGTGGCTGATGTTGGCTATAGTGTAGGTGCTGGTGGAAGATTGTGGGTAGCTGATGTTGGCTGTAGTGTAGATGCTGGTGGAAGATTGTGGGTGGCTGATGTTGGCTGTAGTGTAGTTGCTGGTGGAAGTTTGTGGGTGGCTGATGGTGGCTGGAGTGAAGCCACACTGGTGGAAGGTTGTGGGTGGCTGATGGTGGCTGTAGTGTAGGTGCTGGTGGAAGGTTGTGGGTGGCTGATGGTGGCTGGAGTGTAGCCGCTGGTGGAAGGTGTGGGGTGGCTGGTGTGATTGCTGGTTGAGAGTTGTGGGTTGGTGATCGAGGCAGCTATAGCAGAGGTGGTTTGCTAAAAAAAAAAAAAAAAAAAAACTGAGGATGGATGGCTGCTTCATTTTTTGGAGATCCCTGTACACCTCTTTGTAGGGCCTCATTGCACCCTCCAACACATGCACCTAAGGCTGAGCTCCATAAAAGGATAAATTTCCATGAAATGTTCAGCCAAAGTTGAAAACATAAGCATTCCCTTATTAAGATTTTTTAGCGTCATTTTCACTTTTTTCACCTCATCCTCGTCATCATTGGAGAACTGTATCAGCTTCTCTAGGTCATCCTCTGTCAACTCCTCCACATGAAAACCAAGCAGCTCCTCTATCTCATTAGCTTGCATGTCGCACATTCCCTCACCTGACAAAGATTGTGCAATCTTCATGATTTGTCGCACCTCAGCATTGACCGAAGGGAAACCTTGGAAGTTGTGCACCACCTCAAGCCAGATTTTTCCCCAGCACACATTCAGTGTTGACTGCTTCACTTCATCCACTGAATTTTTTATTATGCTGATGCAGTCAGTGATGTTAAATTTTTCCAGCAGTCAGAAACAGTTAAGGTGCTGTCCTCTTCCATGGCATCATAGATATGGTTGGAGGTGTGGCAAGTGTAATAACTTTTAAAGGTGGCTATTACACTCTGGTTCATAGGCTGAAGAAGTGGAGTGGTGTTTGGAGGGAGAAATACCACTTCTATATTGGGTTAAGCGATCTGGAGTGCTTCAGGATGATTGGGTGCATTGTCGACGACCATGAGTAACACCATGATCCGCAGATTTTTGGGGCAAGATAACACTCGACCTCACACACAAACAGTTGTTGAACCAGTCCATGAAGATGGCTGCATTAACCCAGGCCTTATGGTTATACCACCAAAAGTCAGGGAGGTGATGTGTATTCTTGCCCTTCAGGGCACACAGGTTTAGAGACCGGTCAGCCTGTCCTTCGCTGCCTTAAACCCTGGAGCAGACTTCTCAGCCTTGGAAATAAATGTTCTTTTTGGCAATTTTTTCAAAAAACGGTCAATCTTGTCTGCATTAACTACCTACTCTGGCGGGTAACCCTTCCCCTGAATCAGTTTCACTAATTTTCCAGGATGCAGCGCTGTGGCTTGGTGATCACCTGATGTAACTTTTCTTAAAGATTTCAAACCAGCCCTTACTGGTTTGAAATTTTATGTCTGTGACACTTCCCACACCCGCACCTTCAACAAGGTGGTTACACATCTACCTGACTTTCACACATATCTTAGAACTTAAAGGCACATTTTTCTGGGCCTGGTTTTCCATCCATATGTTAGGGGCCTTTTCCATCTTTTCAAGACTATGGTCTCGTGGCATATAAGTTACTTTTGCACTTTTTGATGTGCCACCAGCATCACTGGCCCTTATCGTAGCCTCAGTTTTCTTAATCGTACGAATTGAGGATTCATTTATCCCTCTGGCTCATTCCACTGATGCTATGCTCTCACCACACACACTAGTCTATCAAGCACTTCAACTTTCTTTTCTAGAGTCATTACATTCCTTACCTTCTTCACTTTCTTTTCACCTTCATCACCAACATTCAATGCATGCTTAGGGGCCATAGTTAAAGGCAAAATCAATGTTATTATGGTAGAAAATACGCGATAAATATCCAGTGTACGGAGCCGGAAAATACGTCGGCACAGCACGAGATCACAATACTGAGCGAACATGGCGGGAGGCTGGGTGCTGCGCACTGCTGCGTGGATGAATACATTGGAACATGGAGGGAAAATGATGCCACGCTAAACTGCAAATATTCAAATTTCAATGCATCTGTTGGTGAAATGGTATACAGAGTAAAAACCGTGGATACCTGAAATCCGTGGTTGGTGAGGGACTACTATAGTATAGTGCATATTTTAGAATAAATCTTCATCAAACTGAATAATAGTTGAAGAATAATACAGGTCAGCATACATCAAGAAATGAAGCTGTTTTTATATTAGGATAAAAACTGTTTTTAGAATGTCCTTACCTTTAATAAAATTCCATTATTAAATTCCTTAACTGTTAATGACATGAAAAATATGCTAATACAGGTTGACAATCCCTTATCCGAAATCCTTGGGACCAGATGCATTTCGTTTTTTGGAATTTTTCGGATTTCAGAATTTTTTTTTTTTTTTTTACAGGGATCAGCCCACCCGGGCACAGGTCACTGACCCACATTGGGGCCTAAAAAAAAAAAAAAAAAATTAATAATAAATAATAATAATAATAATAATAATAATAATTAAATAATAATAATAATAATAATAATAATAATAATAATATAATAATAATAATAATAATAAGTCTAGGTTTCTCACTTTTGATCTTTTTTTCATTCTTGTGTATTTCTTTATTATTATTATTATTTCATTATTACAGTGTTATTGTTATTATTATTATTATTGTTGTTATCATTCTTATTTTATTTTTGTGTATTTTTTATTAAAATATTTATTTACTATGAATAATTATTATTATTATTATTATCATTATTATTACCTGTATTATTACAATTATTATTACTATTACATTTTCACCCCCCAGGCCCCGATGTGGGTCACTGACATGTGCCTGGGTGAGGTAATATAAAAAAAAAAAAAATGCTCCACAAATGTTTTTTCTCGGTTTTCAGAGCTTTTCGGTTTTCGGAATTTCGGATAAAGGGTTGTTAACCTGTAAAACTTTTCAATGTATATTAAGAAGGTAAATATGGAAGAAAGCTCATTTAAAGTAATTTATGTATTGCTCATTTGTGTGCAGCAGGTGCTTTGCACACATATTATTTGTAGTGAATGTGGAATAACAAACTTCATGGAATGTTCTTGATATCCAGGCGTCGTGGGTCAAAAGGGTTGAGTCATGGGGATCGAAATGCCTCAAATGATGCTCTGGATGAATTCACAGATCCTGATTCTCCTGGTCTACCCAAAAATTTTCGAAGAAAGTGAGTAGATTAATTTGGGTTAATCACTGGTAATGCTCCTGAGGATGCACTCCTACTCTTTTTATATGGTAAAAATAATTGTACTGTACATAAATATTTCTCACTGAGTATTTTAGTTAAAAAAAATCGGTGTAAGTATACTGTAGATAGAGAGCCGCGGTTAAAATGTTTCAATGTGGTAGTAGGACATTAACATCATTCATGAGAAGTATATTACTACAATATATCATCTTGTGCATAAAGATTAGAAACTCTTAAAGGGCATTTATCTTACATCATAATTGGCCATCTTAGTTATCATGAGTTCACTTAACGGTAGATCAACCTTCCAAGCTTCTACTGCATCGAGACAAAAAACGATGTGATGATTTTGTTTAACTTGAAATTAACAGCATCAAAATGAAAAGAAAATTGGTCCAACAATTGTCAATACAGTACTTTGTCGTGTGCTTTTCTAAATACAGTAGTACTGTACTTATTTAAGAAGTTGCTGTCGTTTATGGTTTTAGTAGATTTGAAGTTCTGACAAGCAATTCCATATTATAAGCAAAGTAACAAGTAGTATGGGCTGATTCCCCCCCTCATTTGTTCAGTGCATTCATTCCCTTACAATTTGTTCTGCACAATACTTTATATTATACCGTAGTTGCATCAAGCAAGTAAATTAAATTACAGGAGGTCCTTGACTTACAAGCTTCCGACTTATGAACATCTGCTGATACGAACGGGGTTAAACTTGAAATTTACAATATTTTATTTACCCGATGACTTATTTTTTTACTTTCATTTACTGTATTTTGTAATTCTATTTCTTCTTTTGTCTTAAATTTAGTGATTTTAAATGTATATAAGGACTTAGGCTATGATAAACATTGTAAGTAGGTAGTAGGCAGCTATCAAACGGAGGTACTACCACCTGAGAAGATAATGGAAGCATAATGTGTTGTCTAATGGTAGACCCTGCTGCCATATGGCACCACAAATATTGTGACCAAGTCCCAGGTTGCTGATCTGACTTTCTGCCTCATTTACACACAATTGCAGGGTCTCAATTACTTCTCTTACTATTGACAACACAACATACATGTTTCTCACTCTTGATTTTTTTTTCATTTTTGCATTTCTTTATGGTTCTTTATTATTATTATTATTATTATTATTATTATTATTATTATTATTATTATTATTATTATTACAGTAATACCCCGCTTTACACGGTTCTGCTTTACGCGTTTCTACATTTACGCGGTACCCCGCCAGAACCGGAATTCCGCTTTACGCGGTGCATCTACTCATATACGCAGAGAGCGGCTGGCGGTCTTCTCGCGCCGCGCCATTTTCATTTTTGGATTCAAACCTCCCGCCATCTCTCCCACCATCCGGCCATAAGAGGCGTGAGTAGGTTGCGCAGTGTATGTCTTTGTTGCGTTATCGGTGACATCATATGACGTATCGGACTGTGATTGGGCCACGCATCCTTACCTCCCTCCCCGCTAGCTGTGATTGGTTTAATGTAATATGAAGTGCCCTGCCGTGGGAGGGATGAAGCCCCTTGACCTACCCGCGTCAGTTACACCCCTCCCGGCCACCGTATATATCGGTATCTATTGTTCCATAAGAATGACTGCCGCTGGACCACCACCACCACAGAAAAACCTTGCATTACCTGGACCCAGCTGCCCTAAGCCGAAGAAGATACGACGTGCCCTAAGCTACGGGGTGAAGTACAAGATCATCCAAGAGTTGGAGAAAGGAACAAGACAGGTTGATTTGGCGCGCCAGCATGATGTAAACGAATCTATGATCCGGACGATAAAGAAGGATGCAACCAAGATAAAAGAACACATGAACATCACAGAGTCTGCAGGTGCTTCAATGATATAAGTATTGCCACAACAAAGTGCTTTTCAAGACGGAAAATTTACTTGTGAGCTAGTTCATTCGTCAGGCAAGACGGAACAGGGCGGTCGATACACGCTCAGTTCAGGAGTACTCACATGAACTGTACGCAGCAGTGTCACGTAAGATGGGAATTGCAGAGCCCAAACCCTTCAATGCTTCCTCTGGGTGGCTGCACAGGTTTAAGAAGAGGAACAAAATCACCAACATTAACAATGGTGGTGAAGAAGCGAGTGCTGATTGTGTTGCGGCTCGGGATTTTCCTCCGTTCTTACGTGAGATTATGGAGGAAGGACAGTACACCGACGACCAGGTGTTCAACATGGACGAATCCGGTCTGTTTTGGAAAAAGCTAAATTCCAAGACCTTCATTGTCAAGTCTGCCAGCAAGTGTCGGGGCCGGAAGTTGCAGAAGGAGCGCATCACCGTCCTCTTTACCACCAATGCCTCCGATTCCTGTAAACTCAAGTTATCGGTGATCCACACAGCCCGCAAGCCACACGCCTACAAGAACATGGACATGACCAAGCTAAACGTCCACTGGCTGACCGCATGTAAGGCGTGGATGTTCTCTACTCTGTCCCTCTCCTGGTTTGATGACTGTTTCGTTCCCTACGTGAAGAAGTTCTGTGAGCAACAGAATGTTCCATTCAAGATTTTGTTGCTGCTTGACAACGCACCAGGACACTCGCCCCTACTGTTGGATCGTCACCCCAACGTAAAAGTGGTCTTCCTTCCTCCCAACACTACATCATTAATCCAGCCCATGGACCAAGAATTAATCTGCAGTGTGAAAGCTGCATTCTCTGCAAAGAAGTTTAAGCTCCTGAACGACTATACCAACACCAAGGATGAGTTGCGTAACCTCGGTGACACAGATAGCAAGAGCGACGAGGACGAGGAACAACAGTTGGCAGAGCAAGGAGTTCTTGTGAAACACTTTTGGAGGAAATTTAACGTCAAGAAAGCTGTGGACGTCTTGGTGGAGGCATGGGATCAGCTGTCTGTAGCAACGGTTCGTCACGCATGGAGACATGTGTTGCAAGGTATCCCAGGTGGGAGGCAGAGTCAACCTGTGACTGGTGAGGTTCAGACTGTTGCAGTAGCAGTGGACCTTGCCAGAGAAGCTGCACAGAGTGTTACAGCTGCAGGCTTCTCCGAGACCACCAAAGACGACATTATGGAGGCGATAAGGGATCCTGATGTGACTGCCGACGAGATGTTAGAAGATGATCATGTCAGTGAAGAGACAGGCGGTGCGTCATCCCGAGAAGAACACAAGTTATCGCATGGTAATGTAAGGGGTGCCATCGAGTGTGTAGAGAAACTGAAGCGCCTCCTTTTCGACGACCCTGACGATAACCGGTATGAAGTCTTCACTACCCAGCTGTTGCAGACTATGGAGCCCTACATCAAGATGTATCACGACAACATCAACACTAGCCGTCAACAAAGCATTACCGAGTTCTTCGCCCGCAACCCACCACAGCCAGCCCAAGCCAGTGATAGTGACAGAGACAGTGATGGTGACTTTAAGGGATTTGTCAGGTAGGCCCTGACAAGTGTGGATGACAGTGATGGTGAGTCACCTGAGGGCCAGTAGCCTGCCCTCTGCCTCGGAACCAGCCTCCATTCCCGTACGCCGGCCCATCTCTTCTACTAACGTAAGTGTTAAACCTAACCTTGATTTTTCCTTACATAACCTAACCTTACGTAAGTGTTAAACCTTGATTTTTCTTTTACCTGGTACAGTATATTATTCTTTATTGATATTTCTCTTCTATATTATGTGTGTGTGCATATTATCATAAAGTTAAGATGTTATTTTTACTAAAACGTACGTATTGTGTCGGAAAAAAGTGGAGTTTGGGGGTCGGCCCAGTCTTTATTTCAATTAATCCCATACGTTCTGTTGTTCAATTTACGCGTTTCCCACTTTATGCGGGCCTCCGTGGGTTCAATTGACTGCGTAAAGCGGGGTTATACTGTATTATTATTATCATTATCATTATTATTACATTATCGCCCCCCAGGCCCCGATGTGGGTCAGTGACCTGTGCCCGGGTGGGCTAATCCCCGTAAAAAATAAAAAATAAAAAATTAATGAATAAATAAACAAATAAAAAATTAGGGGTCCGGGATCGGCGGTTAATCCGAAAGTTGGTTACTCGAGGTTTTATTGTATATACACAGCCATTCCTCGACTTACGAGGTTAGGGACCCAAATCAGGTCATAAGTCGAAAATCTGAAAATAATGAAAATCTAAAATGAGTCTCATTTTCTTCTCAGCACCACAAAACCCTCATTTTAAGCTTGCCAGCCATTTTAAATGGAATTACAAACAAAATTTTGTCAGTACAGGCGCTATCACTAAATCGTATGTCGGGTTGGTTTAAAGTTGAGTAGGTAAAGTAAGTTGAATATATATATATATATATATATATATATATATATATATATATATATATATATATATACACAGTAATCTGGATTTACCCGGTTTTTGTTGGTTTTTGTTTACGCGTTTGGTCATTTACGCGGCACCTTGCCAGAATGAAATGTTTTAATTACGCTGTAAATTTCATCATTTACGCTGGTGAAGTATAATTTATTTATTTACTTTAGATACAGTCAACCCTCACTTTACGCGGTTAATGTAACCCACAGGGTACCGCGGAAAGTGAGAAACGCGTAAAGTGAATAACATAACTTATGGGATTAAATGAAATAGAGACCGGCTGACCCCCACTTTTTCCGACACAATACCTATGTTCTAGTAAAAATAACATCTTAATTTTATGATGGTACATGCACACAATTAATACTTAAGAGAAATAGAGAAATACAGTCGCCAAGTTAATGTCCATTCAAATAATGGACTCCACTCCCTCCCCCTCTTCTCACACTACACTCGCTGGCTCTTCCCTCTGAGAAATTTTTGGGGGAAAACCAGGTATAGTAATAAATAATACCTCAAACTAAAGTTAGGATAATATAATTGACATTGCTGGATTCCTTGTAAGACCAGGAATATTTTGAATATAAATGTCATATATTTTGCACAAAAGATAACATATTTACTCAAGAGTAAACATTATAT